CATACCCTGCCTGCCTGCCTGCCTGCCTACCTGCCTGCCTGCCTACCTACCTACCTACCTACCTACCTACCTACCTACTTACCTACCTACCTACGTCTATCTACCTACTTCCACACATGATGCGATACATGTAGGTGTATCTGCATACATACATAAATATGTACACAGGCACACACTTTTTTGACACTTCTCTTTGTCTCATCATGTATCTCTGTCTCGATTCTCTCTCTCTCTCTCTGTCTCTCTCTCTCTCTCTCTCTCTCTCTCTCTCTCTTTCTGTCACTTTCGCTCTCTCTCTCTCTCTCTCCCCCTCTCGCTCTTTCGGGCCATCTCCATCCAACCTAACCATCTGCACAGGCACGCGGATACCTGCGCTATTATGAGGGTCAGCATGTAGGTAGACCTCTACTTTTACTTTGTCTGTGTACATGCCGCGGCTTCTTCCAGCAAGCCGCCAAGTGACTGAAGCATCCCTCGTGTATCTCAGACATGCAACCTGCCTGCTATGCGCCAAAGGTCGAGTGTCAAGCAGGTATCTGCCACATGCCATAAGCCCTGACTGCTTGGTTGACTAACCTTCCCCCCGGATGGTTTAGGGTTTAGGGTTTAGGGTTCAGGGTTTAGGGTTTAGGGTCTAGGGTTTAGGGTTTAGGGTTTAGGGTTATTGCAGATGATGTTCGTCACTTTTGCGGCGCTTGGCACCGCCTGTCTGGTATCGAACACCGCGGCTGAGTCATGCAGACTGGGCCACTGCAACATTGCTAGGACTGAGGGTTTAGGGTTTAGGGGTCAAGGTTTAGGGTTTAGGGGTTTAGGGTTTAGGGGTTTAGGGTTTAGGGGTTCAGGGTTTAGGGTTTAGGGCTTTAGGGTTTTAGGGTTTAGGGTTTAGGGTTCAGGAACTGTTTTGCTTGTGTGTTGGGATTGTTGGGTGCCGGCTGCAAAGCAAGTTATACTACTACTACTGTATTTTAAGCTCTTTGTGCTTTTTTGCCATGGATCAGCAGTGTTAAGAAGCACTGAATTGGAACCCTTAACCGCCATGTAAACACCCCGGGTATAACACAAGAAAAGGTGACCAGAAAGGGTATTACATTTTCCGGATTAGGCCCGGGCTTTCGATCGAGGCTTCGGATTGTTTTGAGGGTTCTGGATTTAGAGTTTAGGGTTTTTGTTTGAGCTTGTACGGCCTTTGAGGGTTTATGGATTCATTCTGCCGGCTTTCGGCTTAAGGCTTAGTTGCCAGGGTCACGTCTTCAGGGCGGGTGCCGGTCTGGGTTTGTCAGTAGGGTTTGGTCGTACAGAGCCTGCGCAAACCTTCCCCTTAACCCAGGCCTTAGATCCAGAGCCACGGTTTAGGGTTTAGGGTGTACCTTAACCTACCAAAAATTTGTAGGGTCCCAATAAATTCCATATTAGGGCCCGCAACAAGAACCCACAAACAAGTCGGTTTTGGTAGGTTCAGGTAGGGGTCCTAAACCCTAAACCCTAAACCCTAAACCCTAAACCCTAAACCCTAAACCCTAAACCCCACTCCCCACCCCAGCCACTGCGCTCGACCTCTTTTGGGCCCAAAGTCTAGACCTCAGAGTAGGTACCATTTGTATGCTGGGAGCCTTGAGCCATAGACTTTATAGGGTTTAGGGTTTTGGGTTCTAAAAAGTAGGTATCATTTGTATGCTGGGAGCCCTGAACCATAAACTTTAGGGTTTAGGGCTTAGGGTTTAGAACGAAAACCCTTAAACCCTAAAAACCTTAGACCTTAAACCCTAAACCCTAAACCCTAAACCCTAACCCTTAAACCCTAAAAACCTTAGACCCTGAAGAGAGGAGTTCGGGCAATTTCTTCGTGCAGACCCGCCGACAAAGCAAAGGCCAAGCCCTGCCCGACGCAGCTCGGGTTTAGGGTTTAGGGTTTAGGGTTTATAGGGTTTAGGGTTTAGGGTTTAGGGCTTTGGCCAAGAGTGCACTACTCTCTGCAGGGCCTTAACCCTAGGACTCTAAGGACTCATATTTTAAGGCTTTTGGCCCAAGGACCCTATTATGTAAGGCTTTTGGGCTATGTTGATGCTAAGGGTAATAACAGTAATAACAATAACCTTATTCAATATTTTTCGTTAATACGGTTGATGGTTCGTTGATGATATAAATCCTGCATTACCCATAATAAGGAATATACCATAATTCCCATAGGTTAGGGGTCCTTAAGGTAATGCAGGATTTATATCTTCAACAGTCGTTATATCGATACTACTGACATAAAAGTACTAGTGCTCCATGAAGGGCTCTTGAAAATTTTTAGGATTTGCTACCCATATACACTACCATTATGAAATTTCCCAGAAGACCATCCTTACTATGGTTTTGGGGACCTAACTCCATAGTAGTATATATGGACCCTCTTGGTTAAGGGTTTAACTAGGGGCGAGAGGTCTGCGGAGTCGACGTGACACGCTTGACCGCGTAAGGCTTTAGGCTAAACTTGCCAGCTTTAGGAAACCCTAAACCCTAAACCCTAAACCCTAAACTAATGAATGTGCGAGACTGTAGAGGAGGCCGGCTCGGTGTAGGCCAGGACCAGGGCACTTCATCCACAGAAACCTACTTGGAGGATGCCTTTTAAGTAAGATTATAGGTATCTAAACTTGGCGTTCTTTTGCTTGACTCTTAGGACTATAACTTTTTGGGTTTCTATATGAACCATAATAAAGGAGCTAAAAGTTTAACTTTTAGGAGGGGTTCAGAAGTCAGCCAAGAAGGCTATAAGTATTGATGACAATAGCTGTCTTGTTTATAGCCCGAGTTAGTCAGTCGCACGATCCTTCAACGAATCCTGCATCCCCCTTCCAGAACCCTTGTAGATCCCGTTAAGGGAATCTTTAAGGAACCCTTCAAGTAGCCATTCTTACATAGACTTATAGAGCTTTTATAGATCTATTCTAAACCCTAAACCCTACTGAGGGTGGAGTTTTGTACTACGTAATGGGAGTTTGAGCCTGCCCCCCTCGGACTTTGGAGCGCAAGCGACGAACAAGGCCCTTAAACAAAAACAAAACTAAACACTAAACCCATAGAGCCCTTAAGATCTATCCTAAAGGTTAAACCCATAGAACCCTTATAGACCTATCCTAAACCCTAAACCCTAA